TCCAGTCAGGCTACAGGAGGGAAAGCCCAGGAATTTAACTACTGTCAGTAACAGCTTCTCAACTAATGCTGACATTAACAGCACAATTATCTGTGGTTCAGAAGGTATGTTACTGAATTCTCTTCATGTTCCGGAATGCTTGTCTAGCATCCAGATGATGACAGAAGTTCACTGGGAATCTACACTGGATAAAGAGAGGATGATTCACAAAATTGTTAAAATAGTTGACTTCCCTGTAGTCTGTCTGGTAATGTTGTTCTTCCTATGATCAGGTTTCAGTGAGTAGGAAAAAACTGTTTTCTCCCACATACACAGAAATAAATCTAATAAAGTAGACTGCTGTGAGTTTGTTCTGCAGACTGTTAGGTATTAATGCAGTATCACTGCATGTTAGGAGATTCTTTGGCTCTTATACTTTTTTCATCCTTTAGGATGTTAAATATTTTTAAAAAGGAATTTGTTGATGAGAAGTCATACAATATTGAATTACTCTAGTTCCATAATCTGTTGCTTTACATGTTGTGAAGATGGACGTTCATGGTAAGTTTGAGGACTATAAGTTTAGAGAGATAAAGTTGGGAATTCTCTCCTGCCCTGGAACCACCGTATCGTACCTTTAATAAAAATGAGCTCTGTTTAGTTTTCTGGATTGGGAAGTGACTGACTTCTCTCAAGCAGCTGGAGACTTGTAAGCAGTTGAGGTGTATAGCTGTACTAGCAAAAGGGCTGGTTTATCACCTGAACTAGCAGGTGAACCAGAGGGGAGGCAGCATACCTGGGCTGCCTGGATCCAGCTCACATCCAGCCCTTTAATATATTTCCCACTTGGCATCTTGTATTCGTCAAGTGTTCCTGGAGCTTTGCTGTGCCTCCGTTCATTGCAATCTGTGATATCTCTTACGACCTGCAGCTGTAGAAGTGCATTTGTGTCAGGCTTATGCTGTCAGGAAGGTTGTCTACCCCTCCCTTCGGCTTTTTCTTTTGTATCACTATGTCCCTTTCCAGAAATATATGGGACATGTTTTGCATGTGGGGACAGACGTGAGCTTCAAACATAGAAATCTACACACATTTTTGAAACCGGGGTGAGAGGACTAAGAGGTGGAATATCAGGGACCTTGAAATTTGCATTTCTAGGCTAAGGCTGTCATATGGCCTAGTCTCCCTCAACACGCTTTGTCCTCCTCCCAGATACACTGTCAGGTCACAATTTGAGACATGTAGCCATTTGTCAATAATTTCTGGATCTCCAGAAATCGCTGACTTTTTCATTGCCTGTGTACAATAGTTCCAGTGTATTCTGGATGAAAACGTCAGTCAAATAGTGCATATGTTGGAGACCTGATGTCTGGCACACAGATCTGTCTGTCTTTGAAATTCCAGAAAAAATACGGTAACATTATTCCACTTTGTTCCTAAAAATTTTTAAGACAAAGTATTTTATTTCAGAACAAAACCTTTTGGGATTTCTCCTCTGTGCAAATTCTGGGTTAATATTTGCTTTTGTTGTTTCTGAACAGAGCAGTAATTTTTTTTTTTTTCCTTAATATTGACATATCTTACTGGTTGCAAATTTTAGTTTTCATCTGTCTTATCACACAGAAGTCACTGCAGAAATCTGGAAACCAGAAACACTAACAACTTGTAGATATCCTGGGTATCACAGCATACATACACAAAGGAAGCAGATTAAGAAAGTAAGCAACTTCTGATTTGGAATTTCCTAAGTCCTGGGTGCTTTACTTTGCAATCTGATGTTCTTTTCCTGAGGAATTTTTTCATGAAACTTCTTCACTTTTTTATTTTCTAAATGGAAAGATAAACAAATGTATATTTTGTATGACAGTCAGCAAAGGATATTGTTGGGTTTTGGCAGTAGAACTGTTGAGTGCTGCAGTACATTAATGTTCCCTAAATCGAATTTTTATATAGTCCAACTAAACCGGGACTGTGTCCACAGTGTTGGTCATACGCTTAATTTCTTTTTTCTGTATTGGCGAGTATTCTTCCTAAGATCGTCATCTTGCCTTTTTTGGGTTATCTCCACAACTAGGATGTTTCCACAACCTTTTTGTATTTAATCATAATACTTGTCGGATGAAGCACAGTTTAGCTTTTAATTCTGGTTTTACTATTAATCAAAAATGTCTTAACAAAGACCATACAGTGCAAACAGAAAGTCTTCAGTAGATTCTGTAGTCTAAAACATAGTCTGCCTGGTCGAGTTCTTGTGTGTCAGTGTTCTCCACCCCACAGATGTTCTTCTTAATGTCTTTAAGAAGTTTCCAAACTGCAGTGTGTGGCGAGTTGCCTGATCCATCCTGTGGTCTTGGCCTCACTTTGTTGTTTCCAGATGCTTCTTGACGCTTCCAGACCTTTCATAAGGACCTAGAAGCCATATGAAATTCCCATGCTTATATTTAAAGACGGTTAGAATACACTAGATATTTCCTTTTACTATTTTTCCTGTAAGTAATTGCCACAAGGAGATTATGCAATTTTGAGTAGGCAGAGAGACGATCCACATGATTGTGAAAAAAGAGGGGAGCTTTTTGTGAGAATATGAAGATGTAATCCACATGGTGGAAATGTTTGGCAACTATCAGCTTGAACATAGAATGGACTGCAGTTTGTGGCTGTTCTACCCTAGTGTCTTTGCCAACTTTCATTGTTATGGAGCCAGGTCAGTTCATACTTGTTGCAGCTTTATCAGTAAATAGCATGCCTCTGCCCACAATCAGAAGATGAATAAAACTCCTTTTTCCAGGGCTTTCTCTGCACATCCTGTTGATTTGGGTTGGCTTTCACTTGAATGCCTGCAGTGCATAGAGAGCTATACTCGCTACTTCCCTACCCATGCGTACACATCAGCTGAAGAGATAACCTTGAGCAGACAGAGATTTTCTGGATAGTTTCTGGCAACAACAGCGTCTGGTTCAAGCAGTCCAGTTGACAGCCTAGCCTGTATGAACTTCCAACATAAAGTTACTTGTGTTTACTAGAGACTCCAAAGCAGCTAGCTGTTGGGTTGGGACCTAGCTTGTGGGCAAGCTTTGTCCAGTCATAGGGTGGCAACATCAGACAAATGATTAGATAGGCCTGTGGAAAGGGTCCTTGGGAAGTAGACAAGCAATTTAACTCCATTGCCCTCTAAATTATGCTTCTGGCCTGAGGCTAGACTTGCTACTTGAAATGTATTGTGGGCAAATGTGAAGCTGCAAAGAGATGTGTGATAGGATGATGGACAGGATCAGAGTAAATCGTACTAAGTAGATGTACTGAAGTTGTGTGCTGAAGTCGGAAAGTTGCCTTCCTTACACAGTGAAAGAGATGAGCTCATCTAGAAAGCATCCTCCAGAAAGTTTGATCCTGCGTGGATTTAGCTGAAGCAAGAATCAACTCTTTTGCGGTGCTGAAGCGAAGTCCAGCAGGCATTGTGAATCAGAGCCCTCAGTCACTGTGCAATAACAGAACCTGAAATGAGTCACAGCTTATGTTAGTATATGGGACAGGGAAATACAGTGGTTGAGGAGTGGGGTGAACATACTACAGCAAAACAAGATTTTTTTGGTCATAAATATGAGCACTTAAGTGTTCTAAATCACCTTCTGGTGTCTCCACTGATGGAGACTCCATAAAGGGAATCTGGAAAGATTGTTCTTCAGCATCTAAATGGACAACTAAGACAAGGTAGTGTGAATGCTCTCACCATGTAAGCCAGCCTAGTTCCTTTAAACAGACCTATACTCATGTATTATTTTTTCACAATTATATTTCATAGTACAATAGAAAGACCACCAGTGCTTCACAATCAGAAATTAGCATGACAACATTGTGATGCAGTAAATAAAGTACACCCTAATCAAGGATGTATTCCCACAGAAAGATGCAAAGAAGGGTGCCGGATAAACATTTGTAGTGCAATAACAAGTTTCTAATAGTAAATACATGCTGGATAGCTTGACACAGAAGCTCAAAAAGCTGATTTGGAACAACTAGACTGGTTTTGGCACTGATTCTCTTGTTTTTTCAGAGTACTACCATAGGCTTTTGTTAGTTTTGCTAATTACATTTAACCAAGTATTTTTATTTTGGTACTAACTAGTAAAGCTTGTCTAGTGTTAAACCAACATAGTAATTAAGTTCCGTGTAACTATTTACTTTCAGCTATATTACATGGGCATGAGAAAGTAAATCATCAACATGATTCCAGTAGGAATATTTTATTTAAAACATAGTGGGTTGTATTACCATTTGGTATAAATGGATACTGAAGACAATACAGCAATAGCAAATGCTGTGAAATTGAAGCATGGCATGCCAGAATCATCTGTGGGTGTAACACCTCATCTATCAGCAGAGTTTCCTGAAGGAAGCATTTGGCTTCCCTTGTCCTTTGTTCAGGATTTTGTTACACAAACTTCCTGGTCACATATATATGGCACAGCAAATTGAAATTATGCTGTGCAGCCACTAGAGTTTTTAAAAATATAATATATACTGTTTTCTTTTAGCCTGTGACTATTTTCATGCATATGATTGTTTTCCAGATGTCAGAAAAACACTGATTATAACTTTGATGTAGCAAGGCCATGCAACAGCCTTGTTGAAGTAGTTGTGTACTCTCTAAGTTTGTATAGGTGATGTGTCTTGTCAAGTTAGATGGCAGCAAATAGAACATTTAGGAAAGAAGCATAAGGCCAAATTCTGTCAGTTTAGTTAAAGTAGTTCTCCTGCTGTGACTGAGGGTAGGATTTGGTTCTAGGCTCACTTTGGTTCTGTGATTTGGTCTCTTGAAGAAATTGTTTTCATTATTTGCATGAGCCAGGTAGGGAGGGTATGGTATTGCTTCATGTAGACACATTGTTGTATACTTGTAAGCAAGTCATGTATAACATCTATTTATATAAACATGCATTGGCACAGAGGTGCCTTGTTGTCTAAAGGAGTATGATAAACCCATATGTTATTGTCTTCCTTTTTTCCCCTTCCAGATCAATGCAATCCGATCAATTGTTCCGAACAAAAGCAATAATGAGATAGTTCTGGTGTTGCAGCAGTTTGATAACAATGTAGACAAGGCTGTTCAAGCTTTCATGGATGGTGAGTACAGTGTACCTTTTTCACTAAGGCATGAGGGATTCAACTGCATGCTAAAGTATTCATTGTCTCTAGTGGCTCAAAATATATTCTGTTGTTCTGCAGCAATTCAGATGATTGTTACACTTAGAAAGTTCTTTTTTTTTATGATTGATCCTCCTGTCTGTGTCTTTGCTTCTTCACAGTACGAGTTTGACATGGCTGTTTATCTGTTCTACCTGACTTGGCCATTTTTTGGTGCCGTTCTTGTTGCAGACCTTTATTCTGCATGAAAGTTAATGCTCTTTAAAGTAAATATGTCAGAACATGATTCACTATTGAAGATACAGTAACTAATAAGAATTTGGGATAGTTCTGAAGCAGATAACCAGGCCTCTAAACCCCTGAACTTGATGCATACGTTGACATTCAAACCTCAATCTGAATTTTGCAAATAGCCTTGACATTTATAATGGCTGAACCAAGACTCCATTGAAAGTCCAAGCCATTCTAAATCTGGATCTGAGTTTGTATTTTGCATCATGAGACCATCTCTAATGAAAGGTCACTTGTATTTAAATAACACTTTTTTGATTAATATATAATGGCAAGTATTTTGAACTTTCACCAAAGTCTGTAAGAAGCCCTTTGCAGGAATAATAGCATACCAGGAGAAAATCCTCTCAAAATCGTTGTAGCTTGGGGCTGCTTAAAAGATGTTAGAAGTTCAGTGGTCTCATAAGCCCTCTATATCTCAAAAATGCCTCATAGTGTTGATCTGCCATCTCACCAAGTTGCTTATTTCATATCTATTTTACTTCAGAATAGTTTTGGATTTGGTTTGGATTAATTTACTAAAATGTATCGGCCAAGGAGCATCATGATGTACTAGGAATTACTTACCAATATGTAAAAAGCAGATGCAAGCAAACTGGACTAATTATAAATGCATCAGAATTCTTCCATCAGATCTATATGGTGGCTCTTGATTCAGGCTTCCGGACAGACAGTCAGGACTCTGATAGATGTATGGAAATTGGAGTTTGTGCACACACACATACAGAAAGGAAAATGTAATGCATCTAATTAACAATGATTTTGTTTTCCTGTAACGTATGTCCTGGGGGAAGTAGTGGAGGGTTGCTCCAGGATTATTCAGTAAGTTCTTTTCATTCAATTTATTTTGTCTTAAGTTACTATTACTTGCTTGTGATCTATGAGTTGTTTCCAATGGCTCCTCAAAAGGGGAAATGCTTTCATAGCCATGTGTCATCATCTGCTATGGGGAAGAAACAGGGCAAAAGCAAGCCTTGCAAGAGAGCAACAAAGTCTTGAAGAAAAGCCAAGCTGTTGTAACCTGAGTTCAAATGATCTTTGTTTGAACTTCACCAGTTTATGATCATTGTGCCTTGAGTTCAGAAGTCTTTGCAAGTGAGCATTTGAAAACAGCCAATATTTGTTTCTGTCTGGAAACAGCGTGAGAAAAGACATGTGTCCATTCAGCTGCCACTGTGGATGGAATGAATCTAGCACTTCAAGTATCTTTTCATGCGAATTGCAAAAATTGCTAAGATTGAAATACCACAATCGCAGAGAACTCATTGCCGCATGCAATGAAAAACGTGGGGACAGCAATGCTGAGTGAAAAGGCTGAGCACCTTCATTTAATGCTTCTCTCAGAGGTGCTGAATGCTGAATCAAGAAATGTTCAAATTTAGTTCCCTGAGATCAGCTCCTATCTTGCTTCGTATCTGGAGTAGCATATAGGTGATGTCTCTATTATGAATTTACTTCTATATGTGAAATTTGAGTTAAATAAAATAGTGGTTCAAATGTTTTATTTGCTATATTAGTGTTTACCTAATTAAGCATAATCAGAAAGTCTGTTCAGCTGCTTTGTAGATGTGTTCAAGAAAATACACTGGTGGGTTCAAATGAGGGCTTTGGGACTTGCACAGTTAGTGCATTTCCAACAGGAGGAAACTGGGGTTAGTTGGGTGAATCCCTTAAATAACCCTCACCGTGCATAGTATTCACAGGGAAGCTGAGGGAGGCAAAGCTAAGACAACACCAGCCAACACAAAAAGAGTGTTGGACGGTACTGTGAAAACAGTTAACAAAGCTGTCAAGTGAAATCGCATATTTTCAGCAGCACAGAGTAAAATGGGCAGCAAATGTCTGGGTTTATTTCTTCATACTGAAACATGGTGTCTGTCAAAAGATAGCATACCTTTAAGAGAGGGTATTGTGTTTATATATATGTAAGTATGTATGTGTATAACTAAATATAGATATATGTATAGTTATACACATAATAGAAGTTTTCTTAGCCTTCTGTCTGCATTGTCATGTGATCTAGGAAACAAAATATGGCTTTGATGGATTCCATACACATTTTTTTCACAATTTAACAAATCAGGCTTAGCATTGCTAGCAGGACATGTAATCTCTTCTAATGTGCGTGATAGACTTGCCAGATAATCTTGGATCTGGATTATTGTGATAGAAAAATAATTTTGGTACCATTGAACACCTCGCACGTCTTTGGCTGAATACAAGTTAACAACTCATGGTGGTCTGAAAACAGCATTAGTTCTTAATACTAATATCGTCAAGAGCTCACTGAAATGAGTGAGAGGAATGGTTGAGTATGAAACCTATTTGGAAAGGATAATAAGTGAATATTTATTAGAATTATGCAGTGATGGTAAAGTGATTCTTAAATTCAAGCAGAAGACTTTAACCTGGTTGCGATTAAAAGGATAATTGTAGCAGATACTGCCATAGTAGTTTGGATGATGATTCAGACTGCATGCTTACCATGAGCATCTATTTTCAGCTTTAGGGTCCAGGAGAACAAAATAATGATGTTAACAAGATGCAGAAGAGTTTTCTTCTAACATGGCAGCTGGCACTGGTCTGACCAAGGCTCTGCTTGCTTTGTTCCATCAATTTATCTGACCAACTCATTAGGGCTGGCAGACAGAATTTTTTTCTGTTTACTGTGTTTGTGTGATGCAGAATTTCCGCGGGAGTCCACGAAATTACTCTTTTGGATGCTAATTAAGTCTTCATTTTTATGTTCTTATGTCTTCTGAATATGACATAACACATAGGAAGTATATGATAAAAATGCCAAAAAATTTTTAAACTTTCAGAAGCTCTAGAGTCAGGGTGGACTATCTAGTTTACCCAGAGTTTATACTAGGATGCTGAGATGCTTCCCTTTTCAGGCAAGAACTTTGACTGTTGATTCTTCTGGGGCTTATGCTAGTCCTTTAAGTTAGGCACCCACTTAATAACTTTGTGGAACGAAGGCCATAAAAAGCACTAGTGCCAAGTAGCCCATCCACTGTACGTAGTGGGTACCCAAATAAAATGGGTAACTAAAAAGGAGAAAGACAGCAGTTCTCATTTTGTTCTCCCTGCATAAGAGAATTTGCAACAACAAATGGAAATGCTGCCCAGCTAGGAGAATAGAAACTGTTCTTGAACACACTTGTTCTTTTTCATAGCTGAACTTTTGTTGAAATGTTTTATCTTTCCTTTCTCTAGGCAGCGCAACTCAGGTTCTAAAGGAATGGAATATGACAGGGAAAAAGAAGGTAAGAACTTGCTCTTGAGAGTCAAAGATTCAGACCATTTATCAGCTGTCTGTAGTTGAATGTAGCACTTTTATTTTGGCCAGTACTTTGTCTGCCTTTGCTAACATAGGTGACTTCATTCACACCTGTAGTCAGAATAACTTGAAAGCAAATGTGTGTATTGTTTTTAATCCTGTTCATCTGTTGCTGTCCCTCCAGCGCAGTGTTCTGAGAGAATTTCTGGGAAAGCACATGTGTGTACATGTGTGTGGGAGCCAGACCTTGAACAAGTACAGAACAAATCCCAAAACAGCCCATGTGCAGTAACACTTTTAATAAGCAATTGTATCCTGGATAGTCACAGCCACTTATAGTGCTAGAGTTTTTGCTGCCAGGTGTAAAAATAACTTATGCATAGGAGTCATCCATTAGGAGTCGTGCATTAGTGACACTATCAAGTCAGATACTTCAACTATGTATTTGGGATATGATCTTCATGCTTACTTATCTCCAAGCCGGAGCTGTACCAGGAGGCTGCCCTGTGAGTCACTGTCATGGAGGCTCCTCTTTGTGGTTTGGAAAGCTACAGTAGCAGTGGCCAGCCTATGTCCTCTGTGATCACTTTCTACCTGATCGGAGTGATGCCTTAAGGGTTTGTCCATGTTACTGTGTGGATGTCCCCTGGATGGTTAGGAACCGCTTGTCCGAAGCGACTGCAAACATTTTGAGCAGCATCTTAGCAGAGGCTCTGTTACCATTTTGCAATGCAAGTATTTTGTGTGGAAGGAAGGGGAAAACCAGTTTGGGGCTTCAGGTTTTATTTGAAACGGTTTATGTATTCAGCTGAACAGATGCAATGTGTTTTATAGCACAGCATGGCCTGTAAATTGTATTACACTGATGTCACTTGTATGGCATTTTAAGAGCATGGACAATTTACTGATTATATTTTGAGCTTATATGAGTTGCACTGAGTGATGTTTCTGTTCTCACAATATTTCTCCATTTAGAACAATAGGAGAAAAAGAAGCAAATCTAAACAGCACCAAGGCAATAAAGATCCTAAAAACAAGAATGGTGGACCTGAGAAGGCAACTCAAGAGCCCCAGGGAATATATGACTGTCATCTGAATGGATGCTCTAAGGACAACTCTTGCAGTGGTTCTGCCATTCAGAAACTGGAAGCCGCTTCTCTTGAGAACAAAGGCTCAGGATTTGTAGAGTCAGCGCTGGTCTGTCCAGTAATCACAGGTCAGTTCATCTGGCACAAGACACCCTTTTAACTGGCAATAGCCAAGCCCCCATTTACATAAAGATCATGGTATTTTTATTGCCATGAAGTAGAATATAATGAAAAGAAGTTGGAGAGAGTGTTTGTGCAAAATAAAGCACATAGCTATTAAAGTCATGCAAGTAGATCTGTATCTGGACACAATTCACCTTGCAACATGTTTCCTCGCAAAATGTCTTTTTTTCTAGAGACAAAAGGATCAAACTATAATTAGAGGCCCAGCTGATAGAGAATATTACAGATATAAATACAGAAGAATGCAGGGTTAGAAAATGGTTAGAAAGCAGTATGAGCTTGTGGCATATTACAGGATTTCTTTATTGCCTAGTCCAGACTAGTCCATTTTTTTCTTTTTCCCATCTTCCCTGAATAGGCTAGTCGCAGTAGATCTCCACTGGCTTTCCCTAAAGGGAAGGGAGGGCCTTTGTGTTGAGGGAAGGCGGTCTGATAGCCTCTTAGTACACACACGTTTCTGCTAGCGTCTTAGATACTGATTCTGAAACTCTGGGGGACAGTAACACAGAAGGCTCTTCCCCACTGGGTTGTAGTAGATAGAGAGTTATCATTATAGCAATATCAATGAAACCAAACCTCCTCCTCTGGGGGAGAGGCTCTGTGAAAGCTTTTGCCTTCAAGTATCCTTTCATAAAGCTCATGTTTAATTGCTGTCAGTACTGGCTTTGGTACTGGTAATGGTTTTTCAGCTCTTTGCATTTCAAACTTCTGACAGCCCTAGATTGTTGCTGCTGTTAGTATTTTCTGCATTAAAAGAACTTTCCTTGAAATCCCTTCTTCCGTGGTTGCAAATGCAGCTCTCAAACTTCATTTTAAAGGAATGTGCCAAATGCATAACTGTCCTGAAATGAATTCTCTGCTGCTTCCAGATGACTTTGGTGGTGCCAACCTCTGGTCAATTAAATGAAAACTCTGCAACCTATAGCAGCCAAATAGATGAACTACTTATCAAGAAGTTTTGTCCTAAGAATTTGGTGCCTCGCAAAGGATCAGAGATACTCTTCCCGCCCTTGCTAAAGACTCCCACTTACTTTGGATAGAACATGCCATAAGCTAGAAAATTCTGCATTTCCATAATACTAAAAGCATTCTTGCCACTTACTCTGCAAGATGTAAACATTTGTAATATATTTATATGTCAAACTTCTTAGAGTTGCTTTTTTTGAAACAATACATGCATGAATAAAGATACATAGACTGAATTGTTCATGCATGTTCATGCAAGTTTTCTAGGGGGGTAACAGACCTGAATGCAAGAAGAGTACCCATGCTCTTAGTGATCTTTTTCTGTGGTATTGGGATTGAGTACTTTTTTTTTTTGCTCTTTGACATGATACAGTGTAGAGTTGTGCATGCCAAGGGCAAAAAGTATCTCAGAATTTTTCTTTGCTTTTACAAGTGACAAATGAGATTACCATAGCTTTACAATTTTTATAAACTTTTACACATATCCCCTGTTTCAAAGATGGGGAGAGAGGGAGAAAATAAAAGAAAAAGGCATAAAAGAAAGGAAAGGAAATGGAGAGAAAGGAAAACTTGAAACTTTAATATTCACGTTTCCCTTGCACAGTAAAATAAGTTCCTGACAATTTGCTTAATACAGAGAAGGAAAGAGTTTCTTCTTCACTTCCAGTTGCACTAGAATCCTTGTCTTTGCAGCCAGTATAATAGCTACTTTCTTAAGGTCAAAAGCCACCTATGTACATATTGTTAAATTTGTGCATGGAACTAAATAGAAGAGAAGGGTGATCGGGACCCCTCAGGGGCCAGCAGCTGTGCCCTTGTGGTTTTTGAGCAAGTCACACAGACTGCTCTAAAGCAGTTTGAAATGCTGAAGTGAGTCCAAAGTGCACCCATTTCATATTGCTCCCTCTTGTGTGGTAATCTCCTTTGTTTTGTCCTTGTCTGGCTTGTTTGTTTTGGTTCCTTCCCTATCAAATTAATGTTACTGTAGTCATTTGCCCGTCACCTTCAGACAGCTCACAGCTTAGAAGGATCACAGTCAGGTGTCTGCTGACAGTCTCTTATGCTTTTCTCCCCATGAGGAACATAGATTGAAGCTTTGCTTATACCGGCGCACAGTCTGTGAGATTACGTCTTTTAGAGCCATAAAATCCTGGGTGTTTGGAAGGGGCTTCAGGGACCAGAAAGAAAAGCTGGTGTTTCTCCATAATGTGTCCCATGCTAGAAAATTATAGGGGAGAACATGTGGCTATTACTTTTAGTTCAGATCTGCTTATTTCTTGCCATTATTCCATCTTTCTTTTTCTGAGAAGTCTTTAGCTGTTGCTTTTTTGTGTGATGGTTTCCCACAGGGAATCAAGACCTGCTAGAGAAAATGAAGCACAGAATTCAAGGCTGTGGAAAGCCAAATTGCCTTATCATGGAGGGCCTTAGGGAGCATTTCACTTAACTATGAGTCAGTTCAGGGGCTCTCCCTCTCAATATCTTGAAGGGGAAAAGGCCCCCAGTAAGCCAGATTACTTCAAAACGATGACCAGAACAAACCCTCCAACTGTCCTTCTTAGAGTCCTTGGCAACACAGGATCTGAAGGACTTAGAGCTACCCTTTCTGTGCATGCCCTTGTAAAGAAGGAGCATGAATGCACTGAAAGGATATTTAATGCTGCCTTGCCATGCTATTACTTTTGCGGGGACTTGGGTAAAATTAGATACAAATCAGATACTGATCTCTTTCCTACTTTTTTAAATTGTTTTTCATGTAGGATGATTTTTAGTGAATCCTTCAAACTTCCTGTTTGTATCTAAAGGGAGGTTTTTTTCTTCTTTCAGCCAAAGAATCCATTGAGGTTCACTTTATTTAAAAGGTTTTGAATGGCAAGCTGTTATAAAAAGATAAACCACTCATTTCGAAGATGGCATCTCAGCAGATTTCAAAGCAAGTTTATTTGGGCTGCTGCCATTACTGGCAGGTCTGGTAATACTTGACTGTTAATACAGCAGGGATCACACATTAGACTAGTGCTGAAGATCCAAGCCACCACGTACTGAATCCTGCAACAGTTTACTTGTAGCTACTATTACCCAAACTTTTGACTTCTCTTTCAAGTATTTGAGAGAGACTTTGTCCCTAGGTTTTGTTATACATGTTTCTTAGCTGGCCCAAGTCCTCAGAGATTTGATGCACACTTTCTCAATCTATTTTTAATTGTGTTGATTGTCCTCAGTCAAATTTGAAAGTTCAGTTGCAGCATACTAAGATATTGTTTGCTAGGCTATGTTGGTCATCTGGCTGCTGGGTTTCAAAGTAGCTTGTGTGTCATTTTGGAAGAAACAGTGTCAAAGTATATTGCAGACAAAAGATGATTAAAAAGTTTTTAGAGTATTACCATTGTTCTAGATGACTTTCTTTAGGCAGAAAGCTGTCAGTTTGTCATTTGTCTTGACAAGTATACCAAAGCTGCTAATTAAATGCAGTAAATAAAAATTTTGCACTTTAACAACAAATTTCAAAAGAGCTAATCTTGGGGACAGAACCCAATAGCCCTGGCCTTTCTCTATAGCTTAGCTGATAGACTGCTTGTTTCTAACTATCTGTTGGAGTTATTTAACAAAGCCAGCCTCAACTGACAGTAGAAAGAACATTCTTTATAAATCAAAGCTGTCTGCATTAGTGTGAGATGCAGCCAGGGTTGTGCGAGGCTAATGGCAGTTATCTCAGAACAGAGTTCCTGGCTATGTGTGACTGGTATGTTGCATTGAACCTTTGATCTGTTCAGAGCGCTGCATAGCTGGTGTTTCTTGCTTTCACGGATACACAGGTTTCTTCAGCTACTTTAGATATTTTCTTACATACTATTTTATGTAAGATACTTTTTCTGTTTGCAGGCTCACCTTTTAAAGCCCATAAACAAAAGCTGTTTTAGAAATGTGGGCACTGGTGTTCCTCCTTGTTCCTCTGGTGTTATGTGACTGCCATGGAAACATACCAAGATGTACTTTATACCCACCGTATATATATATACCACCGTATATATACCACTTTATACCCAGCCAGGGCACAAAGAAGTCACTAGTTGATATTCTGGAGCTGTCCAGGTGGTATCCCTCAGTCCCAACGGTGTTAATCCCACTCTGTGGGCTATAATCCAGCTATTAATCTGACAAGCCCTTTTTCTCCAGACAGCACACAACATCAGCTGAATAAAGTGATGCATAAAGAGCATCTTCAGAACGAACTATCATTCATTCATCAAAGTGAGTACAAAGATTAGAAAAATCAGTTAACACAACAAATCATTTTCTATGCATGTTTCCTTAACTAAAATTCACAGTGGCATAATAGCTGGCCTTGCCTGTCAGTTTACATAGCCATTCTTTGGCTGCTTGTCCCTCTGTCGTGATGCTGATATCTTGAATCCCTTTGGAGTCTTGGAAAGAGTAAACCAGCTCATCTTGTGGCAGTCAAACAGGCTCAGGCATTGTTATCTTATCCCGCTGAAGCTGTTGAACCCAGGAGCCTAATCTTTGACATTGTTTCATTTCCTGCTTGGTCCCTCTTAGCAGCTGCTTTTGATAGAAATCTGTAGTCAGGCAAGGTAAGTATTTCAGGTAGGAATGTTTAATCAGTGCTTTTAAAATGCTGATTAAATGTTGAACATTTTTTGTGTGAGATATATAGATAGATATAGATACCTATCTATCTATCTCTCAATATTGAAGTCTCATGATTTCCATAGCAGACTTCACCTCTAGTTCTGTTCTCTAATATTTGGGCAAAGATTACAATTGGTAGTATGCTTTCTATGTTATGAGGTATTTTTTCAGATCAGCATGGAAGAGTTGATTTTTTTTTTTAATAGGTTTTTCTTTTTAGACTGTTGAAACATAGATGTGTTCAGATTAGTGTTTAATAACCAAAACCATTTTGTTTCTGTTCTGTCATTGCTTTCTGAGGTTCTGTAGAATGCATGCCAGTGGTGAGAAAAGAAAAAAAGAAAAAAAACCTTGATTTTTTTTTTTTCCCAGTGTATAAACATAATATCACTCAGACTCAACAATAAGTCTTCATATCTTTCTTAATCTTATAACACCCTGTTTTCTACCTTAATGTTTTCTTGCAGACAAAGAACGAGAACACCAGAGAGTATCTGTGGAATTAAACCCAAAGACTATGAATGGAGTAGAACAGCATGAGTCTCTTCAGTCATCAGTTCAACTCCAGTGTAACCTAGGCAGGCCAAAGTCAAAATCTTCCTCAATTAAATCATCCAGTGCTACAACCCAACTTGAAACAAAGACAGATGATTCAGTCAAAAAAAGAGGTAAACTGACTTCCTGGTTGCTGTGTGCTGAGGTGATCAGACAGCTGAGGCCTCTAGGGGAAAAAAAAAAAGCACATACGTGTTGGAGATGTGTTGGAAAGAATCATGTTCAGCATAACAAAAATAAGTAGAACAACTTATGGTCTATTTAACATTATCTTAAATTAAATTTAAAATAAATACTTTGAACTAATAGTTCTGTTTTAACATTTATTTGATTTCGGGAACTAATTTGAGCAAACATGTTTAGAAACTGAAGAGCACCACGGAAGGACTATGGAAAAGTTGGATTTATGGACTTCAATAGGATAAATAGGATAACCACTTCATCCTAATCTGGGCAAATAACACGTTGAACTATTCCTGCTCCTTCATTGAGAAAAGCCAAAACCAGCCTTCTGACTTTTGTGCAATTTTTGTTTTCTGTTTTAGGGCCGAACATCGAAAAATCAGTAAAAGACTTGCAGCGCTGCACTGTTTCTCTAACCAGATATCGTATGATGATCAAAGAGGAAGTGGATAATTCAGTGAAGAAGATCAAAGCTGCTTTTGCAGAATTACACAGCTGGTAGGTAAATCTTGAGAGATCCATCCACCTGAGAAAAGAGGGGCTAATCAGGCCACTGGCATTGGTGGGGAGGGGTCACTTACACCCTGTTTGTTTGCAGCATATCGTTTCATCAAAAAAAAATACGTGGTGCCATTAAGTAACTCTTCACCAACCAGGAAGTAATATATGCATAAGTGTATGTTTACATACATACATAAAGATAAAGGGGAACAAAACTACAGTTCTTTGGAAAAAATCTTACTATGGTAGTTTTTTTTTTTCCTAAGTGATCCATCTTGACCTAATTCTTTTGTATCAAGTTCAGTGGCAGCATATCTGAGCAAATGAAAGCTTTTTCGAAAATCCTGTCTATGGGGGTTTTCTGAAGTCTCTTTTACCTTCTCTAAATCTCTTCTTTTTATGCTGCTGCTTTGATCTGATCTTCTTCGGCAGCCAGTCCTTTACTGTCTCTTCATTTCCCATCATCTTTGCTTCTTTTCCCACCATTCTTTTTTTTTTTTTCTTTCCCTCATAGTTTCTTCTAAATTTCCCATCCATCACTTCATTTCCAGTTCTCATCTCTAGTTCATTCTTCTTCCTCATTCTTTTATCTCCTCCTTTTTTCTAAATTTTTTCCATTATAATTTTGGCTATTCCTGATCTTAGCATATATGTCTATGCCCTTTGAAAATTTGTAGCAGAAATAATTGTTTTAGTAGCAAGTTGCATATTTTGTATATACTTGGCATGGAAAAGTATTTTCTGGGTTGAGTTTTACTTGGCCTTTTGTTAAGCATAGATGCCATATAAAACCTGTGTATTATACAGTGTTGGAGTAAACAGAAAAAATCGTATTAAAATGTACAAGATTCGGTTACAAATCACAAAAGAGTAAAAAAAACCTTTCACCCTTAATTGTCCACAATATTTGTCAGTATATTTATGAACATTTCTTATGAAAGTGCTGTAGTATTGGCAGAAGTTTGTTAACTCTGGACTTCAGTGGTGTATTCGTTGTCTTCAATGATGCATCTAAAGTGACTTCAGTGCCACTGGGCTCTGCTTCTCTATTGCCAGGAGGTCCAAGCGCTACTGAGCTGATTTTGTGGAAGATTCTGTTGCACTGAGCTGCCTTACTGTCTAGCAGGGAGAACTTTGTTTCTGTCTCTGTACTCCAGTGAACATGGGCAATTGTACTAAACTGCGTATTGTTGTCAGGAGTGCTCTGGGGCCAGTATAGTGATGTTTGCTTAAGAACTAAAATGCAGTAATTATATTGTTGGTATAGAAAAATTAAGTAGAGTTCATCACTGCCTTGCACCTTTTTTTGGTAGTTCTCAGAGGTGTTTTCATATGATTTTAGAAAACTTTTTAAATGTTTGTGGTTTCTACTAAGAAGGCTCTGACCTTTTCTCTGAGTAAGCTCATAGTTGGGTCTCATTTGCTGTGTAGTTCTCACTCAAATTTTTTTTTGTTTGTTTGCAGGCAGTCATAGTCAATTCAATTTTTAAATGATAGTCGCTCTGGTCATGGAACAGGCTTAGAACTCTATCATGATCTAAGAATGTGGGTGCTATATTAGTAAATTCAGAACTAAAATTCTTCATTTTTCATGTATTCATGTTTTAGCTTGAAAAACACTGAAGTGTATTGCCGAATGCTAAAATGTGTTTCTTAATAGGTGAGCTTAATAGCAGAAAAGCCACAATGAGCCCAAAAGAGTATGTAAATCCAAGTAGACTTAAAATGATGAAAAATAGCCTGGAAAACTTTTGAATAGACTTCATTTAATTTTACCTTCTATCAGCTTCAGCGCCTAAATTATTGGAGCGGAGTCTGCCAGAAGCTCTAGAATGTAACAGATCTGTGCTCTGAATATTCAGGCCTCGCACGTAGCATAACGTTGCAACAAGGACACTATAATGTCAGGACATGTTTATGGAAATCTCAATGCGGGCTACATTGCTTTTGGCAGCTCATAAGCCTAATATTTAGGTTTTTCTTCAAGTGAATGAAGGGAAAATTTGGTTTAAACAGTAAAATGCATGACTTAACACTTTCTTTGCTAAAATTAAAAACAGTTTTGGGATATTTCATGTGACTTTGTGGCTTAAACTTTGAAAAAGATAGGAAGAGCTGTCTTTAGTGCCTCATTTATAAAAACTTACTGCCAACTGCTGTAGATTCACTGGTTTTGAGTAGAAATCATCAGAACCAGTGATACATACAGCTTCAGACCTCATACAGTCAACACATCATATTCGTGGCCCGAACGGTTTAGCTTGTGCTATTTACATGGTAGTTTCCTTGCTTCAAAGTTGAACAAAGCATCACTAGTGGTAGCGGGAGGATAAGGTAATTAAGTGAGCACTCAGCCTCTTGCATATTTATCACCCTCCTTGGGCATGGGAATTTCACTGTGGCACAGTCAACTTGTCTATCAAGGGAAAATGAAGCAATTCAGCCAAACTGTTGCTCCCAGAATGCTGTGAGGTAACCAAAAGCAAGGGCTTGACAATGATATCTGGTCTCCTTTGTGATAGTGATTCCAAAGCTTTTTGCAAGTTCTTCTCCCAGTTGCTGCTGGAGTGTGGAGTGGTTGAAATGTACAACAGATAAACATACAATAGCAACTAAGCTCTGTCTGTGGTCAGAACTGCAGGGAATACTTGAATGGGCTCAATACTGTAACCTAGATGGGAGCTTAACTGGTTCCTGTTACACACAGCTGTCACCACCTAAGGGGTTTTATTGAAGCTAAATGAAGTCAGAAGCTTTAATCTTGTGTTGCAGCTGAATGCTGAAACCCATACTATTTTCTGTTGTCTCTCTTAGGTTTGTTTTTCTTCCTTTGGCAATAAGAAAAAAGACCCTTTTTATGTCCTTCTTTTTGCATTTACTATCAAGGTCAGAATCAAGAGTCAGTAATCTTTTGGACTTTCTAATCTTTTTTTTTAATCTTTTCATGATTTTACCAATCAAAGAAAGGATGAAGTGCAAAGATAACATCATATATCTTCCTCCTACCTCCAGATAGCATATAAAACCATTATTATGGAGATAAATGAATAGCATATGTGGCCTAAGATGTCCTGAAAGCTTCAGCAGAAAGATTCACAAGAACTTTTCCTTTTAGCAGCAGAAACTGTTGAGCCAGTGGAAGTCCACGTCTCTGTCTGGCTCAGTAGTTCACAGCTTGACCTAACTGATGAAGGGAAGTTAATCCTGAACGTGCTCAGTCAGTACTACGCTGCTATTTAAAAAGTCACCTATCTGGCAAAACAGTGCATATTACCCTCCCACAATCTAAAAAAGGAGTGGTATGGAGCAGGTGTGCTGTGAACACCTGTAAATGCTTGGGAAAAAAAAATGCAGTGCTTGCTTCCAGATTTAACTTTTTAATGAAATGGGGCCAAAAAACAATCCCAGAAAGATGTTTATTTAAAAATACTCCAGTAGGCTTACTTTCTTAAAGAGCCTCCCAGGAGTTCCTGCCAACTGGAGTAATTCTCTGCATGCTCAGAACAAGTGATAATGGCTTGCTTTTATACAGTGCTTTTCATGCCAGAAGACACCAGAGCATTTTACAGGCTATGGGCTGGACCAGGCAGGGCACTTTGCCCCACTCCACATGAAGTCTTTTGCAGTCTCATGTGGATTGTGCTCCTGCTGTGACCCAGCACTCTCGTCACCCCTGCTCTTGCAGGGCTTTCTATGACATTGCTTTCCCCAAGGCTATGAGAGCGCTGGGCAGAGCAAGCTGAAGGGCACTGTTTCTCAGACTCATATGTGCACCTGAAAGTTATGTGGAAGATCCTTCTAACGGTACTCCCTGAGCCAGTATTTCTCCTCATTGCATCCAGTTTTGATGTATGGTTGTCAGGAATACCTTTGTGTGAGTGAGAACATAAGCTGCTCCACTTATTGCTTGGATGTAAAACATCCAAGAGCGTAGCCATCTCTCTCAGTAGTGTAGGGCAAGGAAAAGAAGAATACCAAATAGCGCCTAAGTTGCAGGGGAAGGTCAGAAAAGCTAGATGAAATCCCCTCTCACTAGAGCGCGCTTGAGACGTTTGTTGCCAAGGTTAAAACTGTATGCTAGAATTGTGTTCTCACTTTTCCACCAAGAGACTGAATAATGATCAGGAAATCTGAGTGAAACGTGTAGAGCGCAAAAGGAGTCACAGTTCCTCATAACACCTCTTGCCAGAAAGTCATTTTCACATATTGGGTATCTGCACAGTCATATGGAGAACTGAAAGGAAACATCTGCTACTTGCCCATATGGTCTGCTTCCAACCACGAATGGAAAATAGTCTGTAGAAAATAGTAAGGGCCAGGTTTAATTACACTGCATGCAGAACTGGACCAAAGAAAGACAAGCCTCCTCTGCTCTTTGCATCTCAAACACATTGATACATCCAATGCTTTATAAAGAGCATGAAAACCAACACAGTTAGTTTTTTTTTTAAGTGAACAAAAAGCACTTGAACGCTCCACCATAGGCTGGATAAAAAATTGACTCTGACATGCTGGAAAAATGGAGTTTGGCAATACTAACGATTTAAAAATATATTAAAATACATTCAGAGAACAACTAGGAAGCATGTACTGTATATAAAGTTTTTCTTCTGTTTTCACTGGGGAGGATAAAGCTGCTTTTCTATTGTTTTCGAAGTTAAAGTCAAAGCAGAGGAATGGTTGAATGGGGGAAGAAGCCATTTGAAATAACAGAGTTGTGTCTGTACTTGGTGCTGGGGGATGAGCAATGCTGCCGGTGCTCACAGTTGAAGCGCAGTGAGTGAATGCAGTCATCCCCTTTCTGGGACCCCTACTTGGCAAACTGTAAAGATGATGGTTTTCTGTTTCCCATAGCCCAGAATCAGTGGCACCAAATGAAGAACTGCCTGTCTGTGTTAGCGATGTGGTAGTTTAGAGCATGGGCAGATGGCTGGAAAGGCCAGGACTGGTATTGCTTTACGCTAAACAGAGTTCCTGTGCTGTTTCTCTCTGCATTT